GCAGGAAGTGTGAATCAGGCGGTATAGCGATACCAGACTTCAAACTATACTACAGAGCAATAGTAACAAAAACAGCATGGTACTGGTACCAAAACAGGCGGGTGGACCAATGGTACAGAATAGAGGACACAGAAACCAATCCACAAAACTACAACTATCTTATATTTGATAAAGGGGCTAAAAGCATGCAATGGAGGAAGGATAGCATCTTCAACAAATGGTGCTGGGAAAACTGGAAATCCATATGCAACAAAATGAAACTGAATCCCTTTCTCTCGCCATGCACAAAAGTTAATTCAAAATGGATCAAGGAGCTTGATATCAAATCAGAGACACGGCGTCTGATAGAAGAAAAAGTTGGCTACGATCTACATACTGTGGGGTCGGGCTCCAAATTCCTCAATAGGACACCCATAGCACAAAAGTTAATAACTAGAATCAACAAATGGGACTTACTCAAACTAAAGTTTTTTCTCAGCAAAAGATACAATAAGAGAGGTAAATAGAGAGCCTACATCCTGGGAACAAATCTTTACTCCTCACACTTCAGATAGAGCCCTAATATCCAGAGTATACAAAGAACTCCAAAAATTAGACAATAAGATAACTAACAACCCAATCAACAAATGGGCCAAGGACCTGAACAGACACTTCTCAGAGGAGGACATACAATCAATCAACAAGTACATGAAAAAATGCTCACCATCTCTAGCAGTCAGAGAAATGCAAATCAAAACCACCCTAAGATACCATCTCACTCCAGTTAGATTGGCAGCCATTATGAAGTCAAACAATAACAAGTGCTGGCGAGGATGTGGGGAAAAGGGTACACTTGTACATTGCTGGTGGGACTGCAAATTGGTGCAGCCAATTTGGAAAGCAGTATGGAGATTTCTTGGAAAGCTGGGAATGGAGCCACCATTTGACCCAGCTATTCCCCTTCTCAGTCTATTCCCTAAAGACCTAAAAAGAGCATGCTACAGGGACACTGCTACATCGATGTTCATAGCAGCACAATTCACAATAGCTAGACTGTGGAACCAACATAGATGCCCTTCAATGGATGAATGGATAAAAAAAATGTGGCATTTATACACAATGGAGTATTACTCTGCATTAAAAAATGACAAAATCATAGAATTTACAGGGAAATGGATGGCATTAGAGCAGATTATGCTAAGTGAAGCTAGCCAATCCCTAAAAAACAAATGCCAAATGTCTTCTTTGATATAAGGAGAGTAACTAAGAACAGAGTAGGGTCGAAGAGCATGAGAAGAAGATTAACATTAAACAGGGATGAGAGGTGGGAGGGAAAGGGAGAGAGAAGGGAAAATGCATGGAAATGGAAGCAGACCCTCAGAGTTATACAAAAGTACATACAAGAGGAAGTGAGGGAAAGGGGAAAAATAATATAAGGGGGACAAACGAATGTCAGTAGAGGGAGCAGAGAGAAGAGGGGAGGGGAGGGGAGGGGAGGGGAGGGGAGGGGAGGGGGGATAGTAGAGGATAGGAAAGGCAGCAGAATACAACAGACACTAGTATGGCAATATGTAAATCAATGGATGTGTAACTGATGTGATTCTGCAATCTGTATATGGGGTAAAAATGGGAGCTCATAACCCACTTGAATCAAATTGTGAAATATGATATATCAAGAACTATGTAATGTTTTGAACAGCCAACAATAAAAAATTAAAAAAAAAAAAAAAAAAAAAAAGATCACAGGTGTGTACTACAAGGCCCAGCAATTTCCTTTTTTTTTTTTTTTTTTTTGGTATGGGGGATTGAACCCAGAGTCACTGAACCACTGAGCCACATCTGGAACCCTTTTTAATATTTTGTTTAGAGACAGAGTCTTTCTGGGTTGCTTAGGGCCTTGCTGAGGCTGGTTTTGAACTTGTGATCCTCTTGCCTTGGCCTTCAGAGTTGCTCGAATTACAGGCATATGCCACTGTGTTTGGCCAATTTCCTTAAGTTTTCTTTTTTTAAGAGAGAGAGAGAGAGAGAATTTTTTAATATTTATATTTTAGTTTTCGGTGGACACAACATCTTAAATTTTTAGTGGTGCTAAGGATCATACCCGGGTCCCGCCTGTGCGAGGCGAGCGCTCTACCGCTAAGCCACAATCCCAGCCCCAATTTCCTTAAGTTTTTAAACATAGACAGAAAACAATGGAATGGAGGGGAAGCTGTACATTACTAGCACGAGACTACACAAGACCACCTATGCCGAAGGAGGCACAGGTACTTGCAGCAGAAGTCACCAAGAAAAGAACAGAGGAACTACCAGCCATCTCATTAAAGAGCCAGTTTCACTAAACTTTTCTTATTTGCTCATGATCTATCAAAATATACTTGTCTCAACGGCAGGGTAGAGCATGCCTGTAATCCCAGCTGCTCAGGATGCTGAGGCAGGAGGATTTTTGAGTTTAAAAAAAGCATGGTGCTAAGCAACTCAGTGAGACCCTGTCTCTAAAATACATACATAAAACTGTGTACTGCCCAGATATTTTTTTTGTCATATATATATATGTGTGTGTGTGTGTGTACTGCCCAGGTATTTTTTTTCTTTTTCTTTCTTTTTCTTTTTTTTTTTTTTTTTTTGGTACTGAGGATTAAACCCAGGGGCTCTTAACAACCAAGGCACATCCCCAGCTCTTTGTTTTGTATTTTATTTAGAGACAGGGTCTCACTGAGTTACTTAGGGCCTCACTAAGTTGCTAAAGCTGGTTTTGAACTCACTATCCTCCTGCCTCAGCCTCCTGAATTGCTGGGATTATAGGTGAGAGCCACCACACCAGGCCTCTGCTCAGACCAAAGAAATCTTTGGTTATCTAATGTATTCAAATCTTTTCTTGCAAAAAAAAACCAAAAAAACCTTGACTTTTTTTTTTTATTTTTGCAAGAAAATAGATAAACCATAATACCTATAATTGCTGTAGGGTAAAATCCTGAGGTAGAAGAAAAATGGAAAAATAATGGTTCAGGCAGAAATTAAGCATCTCCTGAAATATCTGGCTGATATAGAATTTGATCATGTATTTTATGAACTGATTATGGTATCAAATTGATGTTCCAATAGGTATATTTAAAATACTGATGTGGCCATTTTGCTTTTTAAAATGTCCTATGTTGGGATGTGCATCCTTGCTACTTGAATTTTTATAAAAATACAGTAGGTGACAACTTTAAAATGTGTGAAATTTCCAAAAATCCTTTTATGTGGACCCAAGCAGGAAAGAGGTGGGGTGGTGATACAGCCATTTTAGGGAGGACCTTGTTGTGGTGACATTTTCTCCCCTGACCCACCAGTCTCCCAGTTTGCATCAGTTCAGACACATGACAGGCTAGGGCCCTGTGGAGACACTTAAAAGAAAAAAGAAAAAAGAAAAGCGTGTGTTTTACTGAATTTTATTTAAAATTTTCCTTGCTGGAGACAATGGTACAAACTCTCAATACTTCTAATTCTCACAACAGCTCAAAGAATCATTATTAATCCTTTTTTTTCTTTTAATAAATAAGAAAAGTCAAAGCAAGAAAAAGATAAGCCGTGTCCCTTCCAGTATGAAAGCTTCATGCCAAAATGCTTTTCCTGAAGCACAATGGCACTCCTTAAATAAATGCCATGAATGTGAAGAAAAGAATTCAGTTACTAACACTTCACAGAAAATCATGCGGCCAAAAGGGGAGGCAGTTACATTTGCTCAAAACAAGGTAATTCCGTTCCTCTAACCTCCCCCCACCACTAAGGGTGAAAGCTGCTGGCAGCTGTGGTCACTTACTAACCCAGCTCGCGCACAAAGCGCTGCGGTGATCCGCCAGCCTCCACGTCCCTCTCGTCCAGCACACTGTCATTGCAGGATCTTTCCAGGCAAACATCCTACCGGGATGTACTTTGCTTGAGGATAAAGATGTCTGATGCGGGCAGGGATGGAAAGGTGGTATGGCGCCACCGCCAGGCCGCCTTACAACACCCAAGGCCTCCGCAAACTCGTGGTCTGGCGTACCCATGGTCTCGCCAAGGGAACACAGGGTAGAAGACCGACGCTAGAGCCTTCTGGGGGAAGTGACGCCCCTCATCTGCACGCCTGCTTTTTCGCAAGGGCACCATTTCCACCGTTCCTCTACAATGGGCTGTTACATTCCCATACTCCGCTCACTCACTGGCGGGACGCACTCAGTAACTGGGAATCGCTAAGGTGTATAGGTAAAACATAGGGTTAATAACCCATCACCGTGTTTGAAACCCTTTCTCGACTGTGTGGGTGGCTCTGAAAAGAGCCTTTGGGTTCAGGGCGCCAGGGACGCGCCTCACTTGGAGCTGGTGTACTTGGTGACGGCCTTGGTGCCCTCCGACACAGCGTGCTTGGCCAGCTCCCCGGGCAGCAGCAGGCGCACGGCCGTCTGCACCTCGCGGGACGTGATGGTCGAGCGCTTGTTGTAGTGCGCCAGGCGGGAGGCCTCGCTGGCGATGCGCTCAAAGATGTCGTTGACGAACGAGTTCATGATGCCCATGGCTTTGGACGAGATGCCCGTGTCGGGGTGCACCTGCTTGAGCACTTTGTACACGTAGATGGAGTAACTCTCCTTGCGGCCGCGCTTGCGCTTCTTGCCGTCCTTCTTCTGCGCTTTGGTCACGGCCTTCTTGGAGCCCTTCTTGGGGGCCGGAGCGGACTTGGAAGGGTCTGGCATGATGGCGGGTCTCCTCTGACAGACTCCAGAGACGACCACAACAACTCTATTTGTACGCCTTGAATTCAAATGAAGGATCAAGAACTACTCGCTTCTGGTTGGATAGAACGTCGCCCTACGTCATCTCTCGGAAAGACTTACGCAAATTAGGGGGGCGGGAAATGCTGGTGTCCTTTTCTGATTGGCTATTGATGCCATCCTATCAGACGGTGCTTTTTAGCCTACCTCCCGATCGTATATAAGGGCTCGCTGGGGCCTGTAGTCCTGATATCCCCTGTTGTATTTTTCGACTTCTTCTCTGCGTTAGAAATGTCTGGCCGCGGCAAGCAGGGTGGCAAGGCGCGCGCCAAGGCCAAGTCCCGCTCCTCGCGCGCGGGCCTACAGTTCCCTGTGGGCCGCGTGCACCGGCTGCTGCGCAAGGGCAACTACTCAGAGCGCGTGGGAGCCGGCGCACCGGTGTACCTGGCTGCCGTACTCGAGTACCTGACGGCCGAGATCCTGGAGCTGGCGGGCAACGCGGCCCGTGACAACAAGAAGACGCGAATCATCCCCCGCCACCTGCAGTTGGCCATCCGCAACGACGAGGAGCTCAACAAGCTGCTGGGCCGCGTGACCATTGCGCAGGGTGGCGTCCTGCCCAACATCCAGGCGGTGCTTCTGCCCAAGAAGACAGAGAGTCACCACAAAGCCAAGGGCAAGTGAGGCCCTGCCGCCTGTGCGCCCCCCGTGGACACCAAAGGCTCTTTTCAGAGCCACCACTGATTCTAGAAAAGAGCCGCTTTGAGCTCGCAGCCTTTTGGCCTGGGGCGGGGTCCCCTTGGATTCCTTTAAGAGCATTAGTGCGCTTTAGTCAAAGCAAAGGGCTCAAACTGGGACCATGGCCCAAGGGAGGGACACGCACGTGCGCGAGGTGGGCGATGGGCTTCTGCTAGAGGCCGGGAAAACCGCCGGACCTGTCCATTTGCTTGCGAATACAATCTCAAACTCGTGGGGCTTTCTCCTCTCCTTAAGTGTCCCCAGAATTACCAATGACAGGTACTTGGGATTCCAAAAAAGTCAAGATTGCGTTTTTTTCTCCTAGGGACAATTGGGTCAGTTCATCTGATATTAAGTGTATTACACCTTAATAAAATTTGCCATTTGGAATTCTGATAGGTGAATCTTGGGGTTTCCACTTGGAACGAGAGTGAACCAGTTAAAATAGATAAATTTTAACAAAACAAAGTCCACCAAAATCAGGATCTAATTGAACTGGGATTTCAAAAGGTTTTGGTAAAGGGTTTGTTTGCTAGACCTGTTCTCAATACTTGAAAAGAACCAAGTTGTTGGTCTTAAAGGATGTGTAAACATTTTTAAGGTTTATTCATGAATGGGTAAAAGGAATTAAGTTTTATTTTAAATCTGAGTTGGTCAAACGTTGAAGATTCACTTTTGCTTAAGTCAGAACAAAATTTGTACACTGAATTAGGTTTCTGAGTTTAGCATATTTAAATTTACATTTTAATAAACAGCAAATTAAAACTGCTAGTGACAGATAAAGTAGCACTTGTGTGGACTTTTTGGAAGATTACTTCATTATCTCCACTCTTTATTAAAAAGGAGGACTGGAAAGCTCCAAGCAAATTGGACAGAAATGGCCATTCTAATAGCACCTACCTAATAGAGGGGACTAGGTGAGCTCTGTCATGATCTATCAGGATCCCTTGAATGATGCGTGCCACAAAAATCAAAGCTCAATAAATGGTACCTTTTTTTCCTTGTTATTACCTGTACTGTTTCTGTTAATTTTATTATAACAATAAATACAAGCCAGCAATGCAATTCAGGAATATTATGTATTATACATTATATAATTTTGCACACAATATGTATTTATCCTACTAAAACTGGATCTGCTCAAACCAGGGCTCTCTAGATACCATCTGTGGAGCTACTCACAAATCTGCTTACCTTTACAAAATATCCCAGTGTGGGAAACTAGTGCATAAAAATTGATAAGGAGCTGCTCTAATAGTATGGTTTTCAGCAATAAAATATTCACAGAAAGTATGTAGTTCATGCAACATGTGTATACGCCCTACTTCAGTAAAACGGGCTGCAAAGACTGATCTTCCAGAGATTCCTCACATGTTTCTAGTGATAGCCTGCAATTCTAACTGTATGTATTCATGACTCTGTGGGTCTCAGTGGCATTTAAGTGGCATTTTTTAATGATTTTGTTTAAATGAATGACAGCGGAATGCATTACAATTCTTATTACATAGATACAGCACAATTTTTCATATCTCTGGTTAAATATAAAGTATGTTGACACCAATTCGTGTCTTCATACATGTACTTTGGATGATGATATCTATCACATTCTACCTTAAGTGGCATTTAACAAGAAACTTTCAGGGACTGGGATGTAGATATTTCAAGTATCACCATGGATTTTCACATCTACATAAAATTACTCAAATGAGTTATTAAGAGGGCAGCAATGGCAGTGGTCTACTCAGGGTAGCTTTTCATCTTTTGCCACTAAAACTGAACCATCCAGTACACAGCAACAAGCCACAGGGCTGTTTATTTTCAATTGATTAAGATTTAATGTAAATGAGTAATTTCATTTGAGCTCTAGCTTTGCATGGCCAGTGGGTACCATGTTAGAAAGCAGAGATAGAAGATGTTTCCATCATCACAAAAAGCTCTGATTGGTCAGCTCCTAAGATCTGGGGATCTATCAGATTATCAGTTTCAGAAATGTAAAGAACTACCTGTCTCTCTAAGAGAACACTTATTAGATTCTTGTAAAAGGAAGAAAGTACCACATGACCAGCAAATCATTTCTAGGAATATGCCCAAGAGAAATGAAAATATGCACCCAACAAACACTTGTACTTAAATGTTCACAGCAGCATTGTTCACACTGTCTGGAAGGCAGAAATAACTGATGAATGGGTCAACAATAGTGACCTTATCCTCACTGTAGAAAATTACTTGTCATTAAAGAGGAATGAAGCACTGATTCATGCTACAACATAGATGAACCTCATACATTGCGCCAATTAAGTCAGACACAAATACACACATATTGTATAATTCCATTTACATGAAGTGTCCAGAACAGGCAAATTCAGAGAGGCAGCAAGCAGATTAGTTGCTTGGAGCTGGAGGAAGGGGAAGAGTAACAGGGACTGCCTAATGGGTACAGGATCCTTGGTGGTGATGAGAATGTTTGGGAACCAGGATGAGATGACAGTTGCACAACACTGTGAATTTCCTGGAACTGTTCAGTTAAAAATGGTTCACCATGCGTCACATGAATTTCACCTCAATTTTAAAAAATCTGATCCTGATAACTGAATGTGTATGAAATAATAAAAAGAACAAGGAGGACCAAAGAAGAGAAAAACAGATAGAGGAGCCCTGGAAGGGCCAGGTACAAGTAGACCAGATGTCTAAAAGGAAGAGGGGTGGGAGGAATGCTTTTTAGGTAGAATGCTTTCTAGGTGGAATGAAGTAGCGCCGGTGCTGCTCCTGCCATCACCTGGAGACCACTTATAAGGCGGGACATTGAATCATTCTGGGTGGTCACAGCAGATACCTCTGGACGTGCCCATGTGCAGCTCACTTCTGCTGGGCCAGCCCACTTCTGTGTCTGTAGGAGCAAGGAGGCCTCTCCAGGCCCACTGTCCCTGCATACACGTCTTGGTCAGGATTAGCTCAGTCCCTCCACACACCTCCCTAGGGCAGGCATTTTATTAAGGAAGTTAAGAAAAAGAAGTATGAGGTTCCAGAAGAAGAATGCAGCCTGGGGCAGACTCAGAGACACCCCTAGAGACAGTTTGTGTCATGTGGGGCTCCAGCCTGGCTTTGCTGTGTCTGTACCCTCTCCAGGTGTGGGTCTGTCCCCCTCCAGCCCTAATGTTAGACTGTTCTGCTGGGTCTGTCCTTGCAGCCTCATCCACATAACCAGTAATCTCCTATCTCAAAAATGAAAAGTAAAGCCCACCATAGGAAGCAATTGCACTTCTGGGCACATATCCAATGGAGATGAAGTGTGTGTGTGTGTGTGTGTGTGTGTGTGTGTGTGTGTTCAAGAGACACCTGCACTCCTGTATTTACAGCAGCACTGTTCACAACAGCCAAGATAGACAATCCTCTGTGTGCCCACCAAGGAATGAATAACACTGAAAATGTGATGTCCAGACAGTGGAAGGAACACCATGCAGCCTTTAAAAAGGATGGAACCCTGACATCTTTGACCACATGGATGAACCTAGAGGACATTACAGTTGTCCTCAGTACTCACAGGGGACTGACTTCAGGATCCTGTAGATTCCAAACCTTAAGTATGGTCACAACCCTTATATATGATAGCATGCCATTTGTGTCTAACCTAAAATCTTTAAGTTATCTAGGATGACTTCTAGTACATAATAGAATGTAAATGCTATGTAAGTATTTGTTCTGCTGTATGGTTTAAGAAACCGTGACCAGGGCTGGGGTTGTAGCCCAGTAGTAGAACACCTGCCTAGCATGCGTGAGGCACTGGGTTTGACTCTCAGCACTGCATATAAATAACTAAAATAAAGATCCATTGACAACTAAAAAATATTAAAAAGAAATCATGACCTCCCCCCAAAAAAAGACTGTACCCCCCCCAGCTCCTGCGCACCAAAAAAAGACCACACATTTTTAGGGCAGACACAATTTTTAAAAAATGGTTTTTGATCTTAGATTGGTTGAACCTGCAGATGTGAAGGGCCAGCTGTACACAAGTGGAATACTACTCAGTCGTAGAAAAGAAGGGAATCCTCTTTTCCTGACATGGATGAACCTGGAGGACCTTATGCCAAATGAAAGAAGCCAGGCACAGAAGGACGGCTACCACATGGTCTCTCTTTTGGACTCTGCAGCTAAGCCATCCCTGATCCTCCAGCTGTGGAATGTAGAAGCCAAACTCCCAGAAGCTGAGCAGAATTGTGGCTATGGGGCTGGAGGGGATGGTGCCAGGGAGATGTTAAAATCCCCCTATGAAGAAAACACTGACCACTCACCTCCTCCCAACTTCTGGGTCCCCATGGGCTCTGACTTATAGTGTCATTTAGCTGACACCAATTCTCCAGAAAGACATCCGGCTGTGTTGAGCTTAGCATCTCCCCTTGGTGCCTCATCTGTCCTGTAGCAGTGATCCTGAGTTGCCTTGGTCCCCAGAAGCCTCTGTGTCCTGGGTATAACTCAGCAAGCCCTGGGCCACACAGCAAGGAGGCTCTCCCTGGCCCAGGAAGAGGTCCACAGCCACACTGATCATGCCTCTAGCCATGCCCCCTTCCCTACAGGTGCCTGCCATCTCACTGCCTGGCTGCAGCTACCCCTGCTCAGGTGGCTGGGATGCCAGGTCCCCCTGCTGCTCAGTCAGGCTCTGGACGTTGGAGGTGGGAGCTGCTTCTCCTGGAGGGCTGCCCTTGGGCCCCAGGCCACCTCCCTGGGGCCTGGGCTCTGGCCTCACTCTCAGCCCAGGGCAGAACTCTTCCAGTTGGTGGACAGACTAATGCTGGTTTATGGGCATTTGCTGCCCACTGGAGGAAGACAGTCAGTGATGGTCAAGTGTGGGTCAGCTGGGGGATGAGGGATGGGTCAGCTGGAAGGTCAAGGATAGGTGAAATGGGGGGTCAGGATGAATCAGTTGGGTGTTCAAGGATGTCAGCTGGCAGGTCAGGATTGGTCGGGAGGACTGGTCATGTGGAAGGTCAGGTAGAAGGTTAGGATGGGTCAACTAGGAGATCAGGGATGGGTCAGCTGAGGGATCAGGTATTGGTCAACTGGAGGATGAGGGATGAGTCAGTGGTTAGTTAGTAGTTTGGGCTCAAGGAACCCCAAGGCCCCATCTGGACTCTACACTATCCTTCACGGAACACTGGGGATCGTAATAAGTCATAGGCCAGCTGGGCTGATGTTGAGAGCCATAGGCCTGAGGTAGGACTGGCCAGCATTACTGCCACTCACCTCAGGCTCTGGTTGATCCTCCCTGATCCTCCACTTTTCTTGTGGTCTTATCTAGACCATGGCCTCTCCCCAGAGCCAGGCTTCACCTGTGCCACTCACTTCTCCCAGCACCAGAATCACTGAGTCACATCCCATCCCTGCCTTCCCCAGCCCTTAAACAGCTTCACCACCTTCCTGCTCCTCAATTAAGTAAAATAGGCCAGTAAAATATGCCTGTTTTAATCTTCTTGGGTTTCTAAAACAAAATACTATAGGCTGGGTGATTTATAGACAACAGAATTTATTCTCAAGGTTCTGGAGGGCTGAAAGTCCAAGATCAAGTTGTTGACAGACATGGTGTCTGGTGTGACTCTCCTTCAGGGATGGCGCCACCTGCTGTGCCTTCCTGATGCAGGAAGTCCACTCAAGTCTCTTTTGAAGCACTTAGTCCAATTTCTGTTGCTATAACAAAATGGCACAGAGTAACTTATAAAGAATAATTTATGTAGCTCACAATTCTGGGCCATCCATACCATGGTACTGGCATCTACTTGGCATCTGGTGAGGACTTCCTGCTGCACCTTGACCTGGGGAGGGCCTCAGGTGGTCCCCCACAGGTGTGCCAGAGATAGCACACTTTGCAAACAAAGCCACACCCACCTCGACCCACTAGTGCCCTGGTGACAGCAGGGCCTTCCTGACTCTGTCCCTCCACAGACCACCAACACATGACCTTGGGGATTGAGTTTGCAATGCAGGAGACTTGAGGGCCACCTTCAAACCAGAACCAGCCCTGATGCCATCCCGAGGCTCCATCTCCAAGGCCCTGCCTCCTAACACCATATCTGTGGGGTTAGGCTTCAACACACAAATTTGGAGGGGACACAAACTTTCAAACCACAGCAGGGTCCTTGGCTCATTTTTGCCTTACTAGCTATTGCAGAAACCACCAGAATATCCTACTGGAGTCAACTCTGGACAGTCCAGATGCATGCATGCATTCCTCTCTACTTCAGCTGCTGCTGCCCTGTCTTGAATATTAACTGCACCGGCTGAAGGACAGCCTTCCACATCCCAGTCTCCTCCCTATGGCCATATCCTTTGGAAAAAGGGTCTTTGCAAGTGTAATAAAGTTAAAGAGTTTTAAATGAGGAGATCATCCTGGATCGTGAAGCCAACCATAAGTGTCTTTATAACAATGCCCAGAACAAGAGACATAGAAGAGGAAAAGCCCCATACATGGGTTTCTTGCCATTCCCACCACAGTCCCAGCAAGGATTTTTGCAGGCATAAACAAGCTTGTTGTAAAACTTCCTTCAGAGCTAAAACAACCTTGAAGAGGACAACAGAAGAGAGAAGACTCCCTCTGTGGATGTTATGGCTACAGAAGGTGCCGTGTGTTTTATCTGTGGAGGACTCAGAGATCAGTGCAAAGGACACAACACCCAGAGGAGCTACAGTTCAGTACACACAGTGTGCACTGTGCTTGTAAAAGCAGGCAGACAGTCAGCAGGCGAAAGGCAGCCTTGTCAGCAAACGGGACCAGAGCACTGGACATCACAAAGGGGAGAGATGAACTTATACAAATATCAACTCAAAGTGGACTGTGGACTTCAATGAAAAATGAAACTGCCAAAATTGTAGATAAAGAATACAGAAGAAAACTCTCAGAAGGCAGGGCTGGACAACATACTCCTAAATGTGACACGTAGCACATGATCCATAAGAGGAAGCACTGATCATTTGGATGTAATCAAAAGGAAAAAAAATGCTCTGCAAAAAAGGCCAGGTGAAGAAAAGAGCAGGCTTCCTGTAGACCAGATGAAGACACTTGCAAGTTGGGCAGCTGGAAGCTTGGGCTCCAGGACATGTGAGGAACCTCCCCAGTTAAAAGAGTTAAAAAAACATACTTGGTTTTTGAACAGGCCAAGCCCTTTCATTTCCTCTTGCCTGACCACTCTGTTGACATGAAGATGGAAGAATTCCCTAGGGTGTGCTACACAGAGATAGGTAGAAGGGAGAGTGTGAGGGTCTCAGAGCAGAAATGGGTGAGGAGACCTAGGCACTGCATGCCCAGGAGGCAGGGAGCAGACAGGAAGCACTAAACGTGGATAAGTCAAGCATGTAGGAGGCACTTAGGCCCTGGGCATCCAGGTACACTCAAGGGAATAGCACACCTGGGGCATGCAGAGCTGCCATACAACCAGGGCAGACCGCCCCCCCCCCATGCAAGCCATTTTCCCTTTGGCATGGCCAGGGGAGCCTGCCCCCGAGTCACATCTGTGTGCCACGGGTGCAGTACCCTCCTGATCCTCATAACACACTGCCCACAGCAAAGGCTGACAGCAGACAGCAACAGCACCCAGGGACCCCTATGCTCAGTATCAGCGGCAGCACCTCCCCGGACACTTAAGTCCCTTTCCGCTTGCTTCTCATTTTGTGCTTTAAATCTGTTTAGTGACTTGTGCTATTTGGTCTTTTAAGGGGCCTGTGAGCCCTTTTGTGGCATGACCTGTGGCCTTGATGGGACTTCTACAGGTCTCTGGTACTGTGGAGTTTGGGGGCCACTCTAAGACCAGTAGAAAAGCCTGTGCAAACAATTCACACATACAAACACACATATGCCTGAGCATAGCCTGTGCAAGCAAAGCACACATATAAACACACACACCCGAGCACAGCCTGTGCAAGCAGTTCACACATATAAACATGCACATGCCTGAGCACAGCCTGTGCAGGCAATGCACACATATAAGCACACATGCCTGTGCAAACAATGAACACATATAAACACACACACGCCTGAGCACAGCCTGTGCAAGCAGTGCACACATATAAGCACACACTTGCCTGAGCACAGCCTGTGCAAGCAATGCACGCATATAAGCACACATGCCTGTGAAAACAATGCACACATATAAACACACACACACTGCCTGAGCACAGCCTGTGCAAGCAATGCACACATATAAGCACACATGCCTGAGCACAGCCTGTGCAAACAATGCACACATATAAACACACTTGCCTGAGCACAGCCTGTGCAAACAATGCACACATATAAACGCACACACATACCTGAACACAGCCTGTGCAAGCAATGCACACATATAAATGCACACATACCTGAGCATAGCCTGTGCAAACAATGCACACATATAAACACACACATGCCTGAGCACAGCCTGTGCAAGCAATGCACATATATAAGCACACACACCTGAGCACAGCCTGTGCAAGCAATGCACACATATAAATGCACACACACGCTTGAACACAGTCTGTGCAAGCAATGCACACATATAAATGCACACATGCCTGAGCACAGCCTGTGCAAGCAGTGCACACATATAAACACACTTGCCTGAGCACAGCCTGTACAAGCAATGCACACATATAAATGCACACACACGCCTGAGCACAGCCTGTGCAAGCAATGCACACATATAAACACACATACCTGAGCATACACATGTTCATGTGCTGATGTGCACATACATGTATACACACTTGTGTGTGTGAATGTGTGTGCAGTGTGTCAGCATGCATATGTGTGCAGACAAGTACACCTATGTGCACATTTGTATGCAAGGTACATCCATGTACAGGCACACAAACGTAGCCAGTGTGACCTCCAATGCACACACACACAGACAGTGTCTAATTCTTGTGCTCATCATCTGAGACAAGCTTGAAATGCCATAAGTTGCCTAGGGAAAGCCTGTCTCAGTGTTGCAGTGCAGTGAAGCAGAATGTCCCCTGGTCCAGGAGATGTGGGACCATGTCCCAGTACAAGCCACTTGGCCTTGCTGGCCACCTCCTCCATCTTCCCGTTGAGCAGTGAGAGGGCTGCTGAGCCTGGAGATGGCCTGCAGTAGTCAAGCCCAGGCCTGCCCAGAGGCCAAGGGAAGAGGCTCAAGGTGGTTGGGAGTAGGTGCTGCCTGGTTCCAGATGAGTTCCATCCTTTCTGGAACTCCAGTCCCCAGCAGCAAGATGGAAGCATAGGCCCTATGGGCTGGCTTTGGTAAGGGCAACAGCTGGGAAAACCAGGAAAGGCCACGCAGTTGGGGACAGCTGCCCTTCACACTCAGACCTCAGGCACCCACCACATGCATGGGGCTCAGATGTGCCATGTGCAGCACTCTGGTGCCCCCTCCCCTGGAGACACCCCCACATGCACGGGGTTCAGATGTGCCACATGCAGGCCTCTGGTGCCCGCTCCCCTGGAGACACTCACCACATGCATGGGGTTCAGATGTCCACATTCAGGTCTCTTGTGTCCCTCTCCCCTGGAGACACCTTTTGGACTTGAGCTCGTTTTGTGGCAAAGGCATCAACCATCCTGGCCCCATTGTGGCTGGTAGCCTACTGAATGGCCACAGGCTACTCTTCCCTTTCCCTAGGCCTCAGGGCTATGTTGGGCTACATGTTTGAGGAATTCACAGGCTTATGTCAGTATGAGGAAAAGCCTGGGCCCTCTGAGTGGGCAACAGATGCCAGCTCGTTCTCCTCCCCACAGCCCCTGTGGCGCTCAGGAGGGAGAGTGGGCTATCCTTGGGGTGCCTGCTGTCACACCCCAGCCCCTCGGGGCAGATGCTCTCACCCGTCTGGTAGCTGAGGAAACTGGACCTCCTAGCTGAGACAGGCTGCCCAGGGACACATGGCCAGTGCTCCTAAGCCCAGCAGGTGGCTGCACTGCAGTGCCATCAGGGAGTCAGCCCCAGGCACTGGCTTCTCTGTAACCCTTGCTATTCTGACTGTTTTCTTTGTAGTCACTGAGCAGGCGACTAAAGTCCCCAAGAAAACCGTCATCATGTAAGTGCAGGCGTGTTCCTAACCCGTCCTCGGACTGCAGTGCCCTGCATGCCACTAACCTTCCTGGGCCTTGCTGTGTGTCCTGGCCACTTGCAGTGGCTGCACTAACAGCCTTGCTCACTTCTGGCCACCAGTGCCTTGCAGATTTCTCACACAGCCGTGGCCTCAGGTCCCTCCACACGTCATGGCTCTCTTGCTCTGCACACATCACAATGGCTCACCAGAGTCGCACCACTAGGGTGGGGCTGGGACTGAGCCACTTCCTCAGAAGGCTAGAGACAGACTCTTATCCCTTGGTACCCCAGGTCTGGGACGGTATCATCCAACAGAACTTGCTGCAGTGGTGAGAGTATTCTCTCTACACTGTCCAGTGTGGCAGCCACTAGCCACGTGTGTCTGTTGAGCACTTGAAGTGTCTAGTGTAGCTTAAGAAATGAATTTTAGGGGCTAGAATTGTGGCTCAGTGGTAGAGCACTTGCCTGGCATGTGTGAGGCCCTGGGTTTGATCCACAGCACTGCACATAAATATAGAAATAAAATAAAAAGATCCATTTACAACTAAAAAAATTTTTTTAAATGAAGGAATTTTAGCCTAACCCAAGCCTAACCGAGGTTCAGGGAAGTGAGGAGGCTTAGGGTGGCTCCCAGAAGTCAGCTGAGAGCCCATTTCCTCAGAATCATGCCCGTGGGCTCTTTGTCCTTCAGTACCTTCATGCTGTAGAAAATCTGTGCATGTTGGTGATCTGACTTGGGGGATCAGAGCTGGGTGAACCCACAGAACATAGGCTTGCTTATGACCTGGACAGTCCTGAAGACTTGCAGAGGAGGTATGCAGGTGGAGGTGTGGGGAGCTGTAGGCAGGACTGGCTGAGGTTTTTATAGGTTACAGGCTGGGATGCTCCAGGATAGAAACCTCCATTCCCCAGGGGCTGAGCAGCCGCCAGAAGGGCCTAAAGGTGGCTGTGCTGCAGAAGAATTCTGTCATCAGAATTGATGAGGCCTTGGGTTAGCTCTTCCCTGACCTCCCTTCTCCCCGAAAGTAGTCTTCTCCTACTGTGCCACCCAACAGATGGGAACAGTTGGGTGGTAGAGTGCCATCCTGGGTACAAGCAGGTGTTCTAGGGCCTCAGACAGGTTATTGCTCCCTTCCCTCCACAGGGGGAGCATTGTAGAGATGGAGCCAGATCCCATTTGGGAAGCTTCAGAGGCGACCTGAGGGGGACTGGGGATCAGAAACATTCTGGGAAGTACCCACCTTCATCCTGCAGAGAAGGCTGTGCCCCCTCAGCTTTGGCCCTCAATAGGCCACCAGGAGCCTCAACCTCCCCTCCAGTCAGTGGAGTAGGAGATTCCCTTCCTCCTGGACAAGGGATGGGGAATGTAGGGTTCATCACTGCTGTGCACCTTGAGGGTGCCCATGTGTCTCTGGGCCCGTCCCTGGGAGCAACTCTTCCTGGAGCCCCGAAGTTAGAGCAAGAAATAAAAATAAATGCTGAGAGAGAGAGAGAGATAGGCAGTGCCTTGGTCAAAGCACCAAGTCCTGACCATGGGTAGATCCTCAGCTGAGCACCGTGGACTTGCCTCCCTCAGCCGGAGCCTGCTCCCTGCTCATGGCCCACTTTACCTCAGCTCCTGCTAGAGCCAGGATCACTGGCAGCAGAGGAGGACCTGGACTAACCAGTGCATTGCTGACCCTTGGATCTGGGCATTTTTGAGCCTTTCCCCCTGTCCATGCCTGTAAAGGGGATCAGAACCACTGAGGGCCCTTGCTGAGACAGGCCAGGGCTGCAGAGTCGCTGTCCCTCCCAGCATGCACTCCTGAGCTATTGGCCTTGAGCTCTGCCCCTCCCACCTTGGGAGATGCCAGCCAGGCGGGGGACACGGCCATCTGGAGCTCAGTGTTCAGCCAGTCTTCCCCTTGGCCTGCTGGGGCCTCACTGGCCTTAGATCCAGAGGCCAGGAGCACAGGCTGCAGGCCAGCAGCTTGTCACTTGCCAAGGACTTCACGGCATGCGGGCACTTCCTGGTAGCAGGCTGGGCACCCTGCCTGAGGTACAGAGCAGAAAGCCTGCTGAAGAGGGGGACGGGGAGACAGTGCAGTCCTGGTGTCCAGAGGCTTCAGCTTGGGTGATGTAGCACGGGCCTTCTAGGTGCCTCCACATGTCTTGAGCAGAGCAGAACTTGAGCTTAGCCATGTGAAACACTGTGCTTGGTTTCCTTGGCTTCCTGCCAGGGACTCTGCAGGTGGGGCTGAAGAGCATGTGTAGGAGTTTGCACACTCACCCTCCTCACCTGTTTGTACCTTAACTTGGTCTCTGGCATGTGCTGATGGCTTGGAGCTGGGTGAGGCTGCAGATCTCTGTGCCCATCTCTTCTTGGGCCCTCTCCCCTACCAGAGAGGAGACCATCACCACCGTGGTGAAGAGTCCCCGTGGCCCACGACGGTCCCCCAGCAAGTCCCCCTCCCGCTCGCCTTCCCGCCGCTCCACCAGCCCACAGAGGCCAGTTCTGTTGGCCCCTGACCTGCTGTTCCTGCCGGGGTCCAGGCAGCCTCACAGGCCTGAGACAGAGCCAGGCCGGAAGCCCACTGTGCCCACACTGTACGTGACGGAGGCTGAGGCCCCCTCCGGAGCCCTGCCAGGGGGCACAGGGCCCCAGCCCAAATGGCTGGAGGTTGAAGAGACTGTTGAAGTCCGAGTGAAGAAGTCGGGTCCTCAGGCTGTGTCTCCCGCCAGGGAGGTGCCCAGAGGCATGGGGGCACTGCTCTTCACACTGCCTGGTGGGACGCCAGGTGGGGACCCCAACGCCAACAACTCCAACAACAAGCAGCTGGACCAGGAGCCCCATGCCCAGGGCCCAGCTGTGGTCCGCATTGGGGAGCCCCTCGTCTTCCATGTGGATGCTGGGGGCAGTGTGGACTGGGCTGCTTCCGGAGCAGTCAGCCCTGAGCCAGAGGAGACTGGGGCTTCCCTCAGGGACAGCAGCACGGAGTGGGCAGGAGTAGAGGGTGATGGGGAGAGCCCTTTTGTGGTGGAGGAGCCCCAGGACACGGATGGCCTTTGCAGCCGTGACCCCAAGATCCTCACACACAACGGTCGTGTGCTGACCCTGGCTGACCTGGAAGATTACGTACCCCAGGCAGGGGAGACCTTTGGCTGCCGTGGCCCAGCAAGCAGCACCTCCGACGACATGCCCTGTGAGGTCTCCGTGCTCCAGAGAGAGATCAGTGAGCCCACTGTGGGGCAGCCCATCCTGCTCAACGTGGGGCGCCCACCCAGACATGTGGGTCCACCTGGCTTCTTCAGGACAGGATCCCAGGTCCACAGCCCTGAGGACCTGTCCTTCCACATGCGAGGGGCCCGAGCTGGGCCTGTGGGCAGCGCTCCTTGGACCTCCTCCTGCACCCGGGTCCAGCACTCTACAGACGGCAGGCAGAGCAGCTTCAAGACGGAGGTTTCCACCCAGATGGTCAGCTTGGGGACTGTGGGAGAGACTGTCACTCTGCATATTCGCCCAGATGGAGATGAGGCCCCTGGCCCCTCCCAGGGCTGAGGCCACATACCCTGGCAAGACAGGGAGGCCAGGGCACTCTTACTGTGCCATCCTTGCAGCATGGGGCCTGCACCCTGCTGGGCAGCAGCACCTGCTCAGGAACCCCAGCTCACCTCAGTCACCTGTGCTCAATGCGCTGCTCTTCTGAGCTCGGGGCTCAGCCTGCCATGCCCTCTGTCCTGGGCCCTTCCTACCTCACTGGACTTTGGTCCTCAACAAAGAGGACCGCAGTGCCTACAATGCTGGATGCACTGAAGTCCTTCAAGAGAGCCCTGGCCAGGGGCAGCTCAGAGACCAAGCTCTGGGTTGTCCCTTCTGGCCTGCAGGAGCCTCCAGGCTCTGGACACAGATGTGGACTTGGGCCTGTGTCCTGCTCCCACTGGGCACAGCCTTGCCTGTCCCCAGGCTAGGGATGGGACCCAGACCCCCAAAGCCACACCCAGGGCCAAGTGGCCACCAGCGGCTCTGCAGGGTGGACACAGGGTCTGTGTTGGGAAGTGCACCTGTATTCTGGCTGATAGAGCAATAAACCAGTCTGCGCCTCCTCTCTGCTCCTCTCGCTCTCGCACTCAGTACCCCGGGATCCCCTCCACCCATAGCCCTGGTTGGGCCTAGACCAACTTCCCTTGTTCCTTCACTCCGAGGTCAAGCTGGGAGCCACATGGGTGCCCTGTATTGGCTCCTGTGTGCCCAGATGGGCTGTGGCAGCACATGGGCCTGTCTTATTCCCAGGCAGGGGCTGTGGGGCTGGTCCTGTGGACACATGATATGACCAGAATCACCCATAATTGTCCCTCTGGCCCACCAGGAGCAGAGCAGGCTTTCCTCTACCTGGCAGCTGAGGCTAGTGTCAGGACAGATGTGGTGTGGGGGTGTGATATGGTGGTCCCAAGTTCTCGGCATCTAGAGGTTTACCCCTTTGTCCCCAGCTAAGGTGACCCAGGACAACCTAGCATTTGTCAGAGGGGTGGGAACCACTCTCTGCTAAGCTCCAACCCTGAGGCTTTCCAGGGATCCACTGACCTCTTGGATGGGGAAGGGGAGGGTGGGTTCCTGACCCCGCAGAGGGCATCCTGGAGCTGCCTCTCCATCTTGGGCGCCCCTCCTGGGCAGGGGCTCAGGAGGGCTGGGGAAGGCTCTGGGCAGGGACCTTCTGGGGATGGGAGTGGTCAGCATCCTCAGGCTGCAGATGGTTGGCAGGTGGGAAGGGCAGGGGCCATGCCTGGCAGGGGCCTGGGGAGTCCTTCAGGGATAGGTGGAAGGGGCCAGGGAAGGGTAGCATGGCCTGGACTAGCTGTAAGTGGAGGGTGGATGGTTACTATGCAGATGGAGTTGGGTAAGGATAGGGCAGTGGGTCTGTCCCCAGGAGGGGGGCCAATGGCTCTAGCCACCTGGACACCATCCCCATGATTCCCTGGACCTTGACATGGTATCAGGCTGCGCCCAGGTTTAGAGCTGGGGTTCAGAGTCCGCCTTGCAGGACAGCCAGCCTTGGGATGAAGTGTGTGCTGGGATTTGGGGCACATGAAGGGTGAAGAGTGGGTTCGCGGTCCCCTGGCCCAGGAGGAGGAGGAGTTCTCCATGGGGCACCTGGGTGAGGACAGGCCTGAGCTCCAGAGGAGGAAGTAGCTGTCCCCAATGTGGGTTCTGGGCTTCTCTCTCTGTGCCAAGCCTCCAGCCCTCACAGCCTCCTGAGCAGGTGGGTGAGTGAAGCAGGTGGGAGGGGCCATCTGGGGGTCAGCCCACTGGGCTGTCTCTGACAGGGACTGGTCTCTGGAGGCCCCTACCTGGGGTCAGGCCACACCAGACCCTGGGCCTTACTATCTGCTGCTGACCCACCTCTTCATAGGTGTTACCCAGGAGGGCTCCGCCCAGCCCTCTCTTGGAGCCGACCAGGAAGTCCCATCTGTGCTGCAGAGACTGCTGGGCCCTGAGGCTCCAGGCCCTTCTGCAGGGGACTTTGCCAGCCCCACCCCTGGCCCCAGGGAACCACTGGCATTTCAGGAGGCTGGCCCCCAGGCCCCAGAAGCTTCGGGCACACCTGGTAAGCCCTGCAGAGAACTGGCTGCAAGGACACATCCTGTGCTGACCCTGTCCTGGCCAAGGAATGTCCTCGGGCTCTGAATTTGCACATGGCCACCCCAGCGTCCTCAGCATGGTGTCAGTTAGGTGCAGGTCTGGCCCAGTGTCCCTCTCAGGACCAAGAGTAAGGCAGCTTCGTCTCGTCTGTCACCACCACCAGCTGTGACAGATTGGTGCCCACAGGGGATGGAAAGGCAAAGGCTAGGGATGGCATCTCTGTGGGAGGCTGCTGGATCAGAGTGGCCACAGAGTTCTGGTGTCCAGGAATGAGGTGATGGAGCAAACCCCTGGTGTTGCTTGGCCTGCCTTGGTGCTGGTGTTCACTTTCCCTGCTGCTGCTTTGGGGAGCAAGCCGAGCCCCTTCCCATCCTGGGCTCCCTTTCCCTCCACTCATTCCCTGTGTCCTGCTTGAAAATGGAGGGGTTCCCCTAAGTTCAGCCTCCATCCAGCCCTGTCCTTGGAGGCCCAGCACATTGCCCCTCCCTGCCCACCCCAGTGCTGGCTCCAGCCTGAGATGTCTCAGTTCACCTGCAGCCAGCCTCGGGGCCCTGGAGAGCCTCCCCAAGGGCACCACCACCTGGTCACCCTAAGCCCTACTTTTCTAGCCAGTCTGTTAGGCTCTCCTCTCTTCTGTCCCTGGCCACTGATAGAGTGGGCCTTGTCTGTGTGCTGTGGCCACAATACAGCTTCTAGTGCTGGGTGACGTCACCTGCAGTCTCTCCTGCCCGTAGGAAGCTGCCAGACCCTATGGCACCCATAGCGTGGGATATAGCCACTTTCCTGGGTCACTGACCTATGCTGTCAGAATGTTCCCTGGATGGCAGCCTAGCTGCTGGGCAGGGACACTGAAGTGGGTGTCCCTGGTGGGGCAGGTGCCTGCAGAATGGACCCCAGCCAGCATGCACATGCTGAGCCATGGGCTGAACCTGGGCTTTGGGGACAATCTCACCCATGGCCCCCAGGTCCCTGCAAGCAGTGGTCTTGCTGAGCATACACACACCCTGGCCTGGTGATGTGGGGGACTGTTGGGCAGTGCAGGGCCGAGGAGGGTCCCTTAAGCCCCAGCCCAGCTCTGTCTCACGAGGCTCCTCATCTCCCAGCAGCTGAGACCCCAGAGGTGCCACAACCTCTCATCCGGGAAGTCCTGGAGCAGGAGACGGTGACTGGTTCTGGGGCCCAGGGACGGACCATCCCCATCCGGTAACCTCCCCCAGCTAACTGAGTCATGAGATGGGGGCAGTCCTGCCAAGGACAGCTCATGGGTGGGCAGGTCCATCCGCTCTGGCCATGTGGCACGCAGAGGTAATGGGGTGGTCCTGTGGCCTCCTGTGCACTCCTTGACTGCCCCAGGCCAAGCCAGTAGGCAGGGAAGAAGGCCAACCTCAGGGCAGGAGGTGCAGGAAGCCCCCACAGCAAGGACCAGGGTCTTCCATCTGCACACCTCATCCCCCCGCTTGTCGGGAAAGCCTAGGACCCCATCTTGTCACCTCTAGCCAGCAGAAGCTCACCTAGCTCTGTGATTCCAGGGTGGAGGGTGCTGCCTGGCCAGGGGCAGGTGCCGGGCACATGCTCTGGGATGTCCACAGCCATGTAGTCACAGAGACCACACAAAGGACCTATGTGTACCAGCCCGTCGACACCAGTGCTACAAGTTCAAGTATGGGGGTCAGGGGTCAGGGGTCAGGGCATGATGTGAGGGTGGCCCTGCAGTGCCTGGGCTGGGGGCAGTTGCTTGGAGGGTGGAGGGGCCCTCTAGGTCCCCGCCTGCTTCAGCCCAGATTCCCCACCCCTTCTCTTAGGCCACAATGGGGTGGGGGCTGGAGCTCTCCTCCAGGAGAGGCAGGCACTACAGATCCGGTGTCTGCGGGACCCAGTCCTGGAGAGAGCCACTGGCCCCTAGCATGTTCTGCCTGCCTTGGCTTGACTGTCCTCCTGACTGCTGGGCCAGCTGAGGGCAAAGCAGGGAGACAGTGGTTGGATGGAAGGAAGAACTTCCCAGTTACCAGGGGGCCCTGTTGCCTGTTGCCCTGGGGTGTACTCAGAGCCTCACTGACCACATGTATGGTCTGTGCAGCCTGGGAATCCCTCCCCATGTCCCCCTTTCCACCTCGTCCCAGGGCCCCCAACCATGCAGGTGACCATTGAAGATGTGCAGGTCCAGGCGGGTGGTACGGCACAGTTTGAGGCTGTCATTGAGGGGCACCCACAGCCCACTGTGACATGGTACAAGGTAAGAGCTGGCCCAGGGAGGCAGGGTGGGGCCCTCAGAGGCTGGAGGCACCTGTGTGTGCATGTGTGTGCGAAAACCGCACCACACGATCCTAGCTGTGCGGCCCCTCCTGCAATCCCCAAGCCCATCATGGCTGGGCATGAGGCTGGACCTGGGGCCGACACACAGCAGGTGCCAGGGAAGGGCAGGTGGGCCTGATGCTGGGATGGGCTGATGGCGTCGTGGCCTGCTGGTGTTTCAGGACGGTGTCCAACTGGAGGACAGTGCCCGACTGAGCCAGCAGAAGGATGGCACCACTCACTGCCTGCTACTGAAGGATGTGGTCCAGCAAGATGCAGGTGTCTACACCTGTCTCGCACACAATGCTGCTGGCCAGGTGCTCTGCAAGGCGGAGCTGCTGGTCCATGGGGGTAAGCCGCAGAGCCTCCCAGGCCCAGGGCCGCTCGGTCTCCACATGGCATCCCCAGTCCCCACAGGGACCCCGGCTCAAGGTTCCCATGGGCCACAGGCCCAGGCCTAGGGAACAGCCTGCCAGCCCCACAGTACTGGGGACAAGGGCCAGGGCAGTGCCTTTGCCGTCCTAACTACCTTCTGTGCTGACCACAGGAGACAGTGAGCCAGATTCAGAAGAGCAGAGCCGTCGGAGGAAGCTGCACTCCTTCTACGAGGTCAAGGAGGAGATTGGCAGGTACACTCCAGCCCTTCTGGCCCCGGGGATGCCCAGGACCCGTGGCACAGCGTCACCATCCTGATCCCCCTCCCTCCTCCCCAGAGGCGTGTTTGGCTTTGTGAAAAGGGTACAGCACAAAGGAAATAAGGTATTCTGTGCTGCCAAGTTCATCCCCCTGCGGAGCAGAACTCGGGCCCAGGCGTACCAGGAGCGAGATATCCTGGCCACGCTCAGCCACCCGCTGGTCACTGGGCTGCTGGACCAGTTTGAGACCCGGAAGACCCTCATCCTCATTTTGGAACTGTATCCTTTCTTCTCCTGGCCCCTTGGGGTTTGAGGAGGGGTGCAGTGGCCACCAGGCTGGGGATTGGAGGAGTGAATGCTCCCTGGGGCTGGCAGGTCGTGACGGCCTCAGCCCACCTTCCTGTGGCCAATGCTGTGTGACAAGCAGCCCTGTTCCTGCCGCTCGTGATGGTGTTGGTCAGGGGGTTCTTTCTCTCTGAGGGTTGTCCATGGGGGTCACCAGGCAGGGTCAGTGGCTGAGCTGGTCCTGAGGGTCCAGATGTCCTCGGTGGAGATGGCCAGGGGTCTCCTCCCAGGGTGACCTCTCAGATGCAGGAGAGGAGTATCCTACACAGGTTACTCCAGGTCTTTGCCCACTGCCCATAGGTCCCTGACTGGGGTCTCAGTGTGGAGGGCCTTGTGGCTGGATCTGCTCCTGTGTTCTTGTCTCTCCCCTGAGGAGGGATTTGTACAGACAGGCCAGGTGCCCCCACCCTACCACTGCCCTGTGGCCTCAGTCCCCAGGCAGCCCCCCTCATCTGGGCTGGATGCCGTCTGGGGTTCCAGGGGCCCATGGCACCTCCCCTCAACCTGAGCACCAGTACCCCACCCCTGAGACCGCAGGAACCCTGTCCTGGCCACCTCCTGGTGGGTTCCAGCCTCAGCTGCTTTCCTTGACCAGGCCCCAGGTGCTCATCGGAGGAGCTGCTGGATCGCCTCTTCAAGAAGAGCGTGGTGACAGAAGCCGAGGTGACCCTGCACCTGCCTGCCACTGGCCTGAGCTGCATGCGGGTCCCAGCCCCACCCAGACACAGCTGCCCCAGATGTGGCCCAGGCCCCGCCTCTCTGGCTGCCCGGGCTCTGTGCCCAGCTGCATTGCCTGGCTTCCTGCACACCTTGCTTGTTCGTGGGGATTTCTCTGGCTTTGGCACTTAGGGCTCAGGATGCCACCTACCCTGTGGGCTTGTCCCAGGTGCTAGACTGGGGCACTCAAGCAGGATGAGTTAAGGTGGAGGGCCGGGGCCCCTCCCTGAGCACAGCCTTTGCCACAGGTCAAGGTCTACCTCCAGCAGTTGGTGGAGGGACTGCACTATCTGCACAGCCACGGGGTCCTCCACCTGGACATAAAGGTACTGTCCCTCGGGCCCCTCCAGAACCTGGGTGGGAGAGGGGAGCCCTGGGCCTGCAGGATAGGAAGGGACAGGCCTACCGTGTCCAGTTTCCTTGACAGGGCTTGCTGTCCTGCAGGGACTGGATGCACTGCTAATTGGCAGCTCATCCGTGGGCTCTGCTCTGACAGTCTGACTGGGGCTCCCCATGCCCCACATTGGCCTCATGGACCCTGAATGACTCCCTGAGGCCTGGAAACCCCAGGTAGCCCAACCCCCATAGACTCCCCCAATACTTTCTGACAGCCCCCCAATATCCTGATGGTGCATCCTGCTCGGGAAGACATTAAAATCTGCGACTTTGGCTTTGCCCAAAAAATCACCCCTTCAGAGCCACAGTACAGCAAGTACGGCTCTCCAGAGTTCGTGTCCCCCGAGATCATTGAGCAGACCCCTGTAAGCGAGGCTTCTGACATCTGGTGAGTGGTCAGGCTGAGTCAGGACTGTGACCCTCCTGGGACCATGCTGGGGAGTCATCTGGCAGCCCAGCAGCCAGCCAAAGGGTCCTCTCTGAGTCTCTGCCTCCTTCTGCACCCCTGGGATCCCCCATACCTCCTCCCACATACCCCTTGCCTGTGGCCAGTCCTGGGGTGACTCACAGTGGGTGGTTTTCTTTCTGCAGGGCCATGGGGGTCATCTCTTACCTCAGGTGAGCACAGCCTGTTCTTGGCAGCTGCCTCTTCAAAGCCAACCCTTCTGCAGAATCCTGAGGGCCACGTGTGCTGTTGGCCACACCCCAGACCAGAGACCCAAGAGCCCAGGGGCAGCTATCTTGGGAACAGGCGGTCAGCCAACCCTGATAAGAGGCTCCTGCCCACTGCTCTTCACAAACACCCCGTCATCACTAGGCAGAGCTGAGCTGACCCTGTAGGGTCTGTGGGATTTTTGTCCAGAGTCCACTCATAGTGGTCACTGCTGCCCTGAAGATACTGGTGGTACAGACTGATCCTTGACCTCTGCAGACTAAGACCTGTCCCCACCTCAGACATAGACTGGTGCCTATCTAGGCTCCCTGGACTCCTGTCCCAGTTGAGCCTGGATCCCTAGCTCAGGCTGAGGCCAAGTACCCACCCCAGGTTGAACCAGCACCCAGCCTTGGCATACATCCCTGCTTCAAGCTAGCCTGGGTCTCCTTTGTAAGTTCAGCCCTGTACCCTCCTCTGGCCATGAGAGCCTCAGGTTAAAGCAGGGCCCCCATGCAGGCTGACATTTCCTTGATCCCTGTCCCAGCCTGAGTGGGGACCCCAACCCTGGTCTGAGCCCAGACACCCTCTTAGGCTTTGCCTGGATTGGTGTTCCAAGCTGAGGCAGTATCTGGGGAACCTCAGATACTGCTGGGTGGGAGTGGTGCTAGAGTTGGTCCCCAGGGGCTTTGTTTGAGGGCAGGCTCTGCCTGTTTCCAGCCTGACCTGCTCCTCCCCGTTTGCGGGAGAGAGTGACCGTGCCACCCTGCTGAACGTGCTGGAGGGGCGGGTGTCCTGGAGCAGCCCCATGGCTGCCCACCTCAGTGAGGACGCCAAGGACTTCCTCAAGGCCACGCTGCAGAGGGCCCCAGGGTGAGTGCATGCCTCTCTTGCCTGCCCAGGGTGCAGCCAGCCCTGCCCAGGGCCAGCTGACTGCCTGGCTGACCTGGGCTCTGCTCTCCCTCCAGGGCCCGGCCCAGTGCCTCCCAGTGCCTCACCCACCCCTGGTTCCTGGTGAGTAGGCCCAGCCTGGCTCAACCCCAGGCCTGCAGGGAGGGACATCCAACCCAAGGGGGACGAGGGCCTGCCTGCATCAGCACATATGGTGGTGGCACCCAGGCCCCTGTGCCCCAGTTCAGAGGACACTTGTCCCTTCAGACAGGCTTGGGATCCTGAGACCCTCACAGGGGGTCAGGGCCTCCCCTACGACCTCTGGCCTTTGCCTTGCCCTGTCTGGGCAAAGTAAGAGGATGAGCCCATGAGACCCCAGGGCTGAGGGCAAGTCCACCTGCCCCTGCCCAGCTGGGCCTCCATCCCAGGAGGGGCCCCCATCAGGGCGCTGGGGTCTCTCCTCAATGTGGCTCCTCCCTCACACCCCAGAAATCCATGCCTGCGGAGGAGGCCCACTTCATAAACACCAAGCAGCTCAAGTTCCTCCTGGCCAGGAGCCGCTGGCAGGTGAGCTGTCCTCTGAAAGGGGGATGAGTGCGGGGGCAGAAACGCAAGCCCAAGCCCGCCTAGCACACTCCCAGGCCTGGCACCTCATCGGATCTCAGCCATGAGTGTGCCAGGTGCAGAGGAATACCGGTGGCCAGGCAGAAGCCAAGAGCCTGGTGCAGAGGTCCCCACTGCTCTGGGTCCCCTCCCTTTGGCCCACTGGGAACGTGGAGGGAGAGGGTCTGCTGGGTGCTGCGGCCCCACCCAGCGACTGCTCTGTGCTGCCCCCAGCGCTCCCTGATGAGCTACAAGTCCATCCTGGTGATGCGCTCCATCCCAGAGCTGCTGCGGGGCCCACCCGACAGCCCCTCCCTGGGAGTGGCCCGGCACCTGCGGGCAGAAGCCAGCGGCTCCTCCAGCTCCTCCTCCTCGGACAATGAGCTCGCTCCGTTTGCCAGGGCCAAGTCACTGCCATCCTCGCCCGTGACCCATTCCCCGCTGCTGCACCCACGGGGCTTCCTGCGGCCCTCTGCCAGCCTGCCGGAGGAGGCAGAGGCCCCACCAGCCTCACAGCAAAGCACAGGGCCCCTGGCAGCCCCCGGCTGCGTCCCCCGGCACAGCGTCATCAGCAGCCTGTTCTACCAGCAGGCAGGCGAGGGCCCTGAGCAAGGCGCCCTGGCCCCTGGAGGCCGCCGACACGCGGCCCGGAGGCGGCACCTGCTCAAGGGTGGGTACTTCGCCAGGGCCCTGCCTGGTCTGCGTGAGCCGCTGATGGAGCACCGCGTGCTGGAGGAGGAGGCTGCCAGGGAGGAGCAGGCCGCGCTGATAACCAAGACACCCTCCTTTGAGACGGCCCTGCGCCTGCCCAGCGCCAGTGCCCCTGAGACCCCCGGCCGTAGCCACTCGCTGGACCAAGACCCTCCAAGTGCCATCAGCCCCTTGAGTGAGGCCTGCAGTGAAGGACAGTGTCCTCCCACAGCCTCTACAGGGGAGGCTGGTGGAGAGAGAGACCAGAAGCCCCTGAAAGGGCCCAGTCTGTCTCCATCACCTGCTAGAGACTCAGGGCCTGCTCAGCAAGCGGGGTCGTCCAGGCTGGGGCAGGAGGCTCCTTATTGTCACCCTGAGCAGGGTTCTGCCCCCCAAAAGGGCTGTGGCCCAGTGTCACCACAAACTCATGGCTCTTTGCCTCCAGGGTCTGTCAAGGAGATACTTCTGGAGCCCCCCTGCCCCGCCCAAACAAGCTCCCTGCCAGGCTCTAAGAAGGAGCCTGGCAGCATCTCTCGACCTGGGGGGCCTTGGACCAGCTCCTCCAGCTCCCTGGAACCAACCTGCCCCACAGGCATGGAGTCCAGCCCTTCCCTGGACACTGGCAGCCTGTCCCAGGAGGCTGAGCATTCCCCTGACCCAACACCCCCCTTACCAAGGCCTCAGGAGCAGGCCACCACCCGGAAGTTCTCCCTGGGGTACCGTGGGGGCTATGCGGGGGTGGCGGGCTATGGTACCTTTGCCTTTGGTGGGGATGCAGGGGGCATGCTAGGACAGGGTCCCTTGTGGGCCAGGATGGCCTGGGCCGTATCCCAGTCCTCCGAGGAGCAGGACGAAGCTGGAGTGGGAAGCCCTCAACCCCAGGCCGACTTGGGGCCAGTGCCTGAGACCAGAGGGGCTACCCTGAGGGCTTCCCCAGAGCTGACCTCGTGGGAGCAAGATGGGCAGGTGTCCCTGGTGCAGATCCGGGACCTGTCAGGGGATACAGAGGCTGCCGACACTGTGTCCTTAGACATTTCAGAGGTGGATCCCGCCTACCTCAACCTCTCTGACCTGTATGACATCAAGTATCTCCCATTCGAGTTCATGATCTTCAGGAGGGTCCCCAAGCCCTGGGAGCAGCCAGAGCCGCCCTCTCCTGAGGCTGAGGCTGGGGAGGAGCTGGCAGAGTTCCCTGAAGCTGCGTGGCCCTGGCCGGGGCAGCTGGGCCTTCGAGCTGGCCTGGAGATCACAGAGGAGCCGGAGGACCTGGAGGCACTGCTGGGGGAGGCTGCGGCCAGCAGAAAGCGCAAGTGGTCCCCCTCCCGTGGCCTATTCCAGTTCCCCGGGAAGTGTCTGCCGCTGGAGGAACCCCTGGAACTTGGGCTGCGCCAGAGGGTGAAGGCTTCCATGGCTCACATCTCCCGGATCCTGAAGGGCAGGCCGGAAGGTGACCTCCTCCTCGTCCTATCCCCTGGCACATCCCTGCCCCTTAGGTTCACTCACCCTTTCATGCTCAGGGTCCTGCTGGGCCCCCTCTCTGGTGCTGCTGACCCTACCTCCCAGCTGCACCCACGGCTCTACCTGAGTCCTGGGGGCACCTCTGCTGACCTGAACCTGCCTTACTGGGCATGTGAGGCCATCCTGGAGACAGCTGCAGGGAGGGCACCTGGGGAGAGGGCAGCCAGGAACCCAGGCCTCCCCCACTGTAGACCCTCTGACCCAGGAGTATTATGGCCCACCCTCAGTGACCTCAGACCTTCTGAGCCCAGTCCTGTGGCCCCAGATCCTCCTGACTCCAGGTCTCTCCTGATCCCAGAGCAACTCGACCCTAGGCACAGCTGACCCCAGCTTCCCTGACCCCTGAGCTGCCTGGAAGTCCCAACTCCAGAGAAGCCTCTCTGACCCCGGCCCCAAGCAACCCCCTCCTGCACCGTAGGCCTTAGAGCCCCCAACAGCCCACTGCTGAGGGAGGTGGGAAGCAGGTCCACCTTGTTTTCACCACCCCAGTCCCTGAGACCTGGGCCTGCCGGGAGGACAGGCAGTGTGAGGAAGCTGGTGCTGCCCGAGGACAGACCTCCCTACTGAGACCCCCCCCTCCTCCTGCAGGCCTGGAGGAGCCCCCCAGAAAGAAGGCAGGCCTGGCTTCCTTACGGCTGTCAGGTCTGAAGGGCAGGGACCAAGGTGAGCAGGCTCCACTGTCTCAGGGTCCTTTCCCAACCGCCATGGTGCCTACACCAGAGGGGCAAGCCCCCACCCACCTATGGGGCTTAAGCCCAGAGGCAGGCTGGGCATGGGGGCTGAGCAATCTTGGAGGGCTTCCAGGAGGAGGCCGTGCTGCGTCCTGCCCACACTTTCTGGCCTGGACTTCCCTCTGAAGGCTCTTCCTGCTTCCTCCTCAGCACCAACCTTCCTGAGGGAGCTCTCAGATGAGACCGTGGTCCTGGGTCAGTCGGTGACACTGGCTTGCCAGGTGTTAGCCCAGCCAGCTGCCCAGGCCACCTGGAGTAAAGGTAAGGGGCTGGGATACAAGCAGGGCACAGGGGCCCTCACTGTCTAGGGGAAACTCCGACAGGCTCTGTGCTGTCACAGATGGGGCCCTCTTGGAGAGCAGCGGCCACCTCCTCATCTCCTCCACCCTGAAGAACTTCCAGCTGCTGACCATCTTGGTGGTGACTGCTGAGGACCTGGGCATGTATACCTGCAGTGTGAGCAACCCTCTGGGCACAGCAACCACCACGGGCGTACTCCGGAAGGCAGGTGGGTGCGCTCTGCTAGAGGTCCCTGCCAGGCCAGGGAGGCTGGGCTGGGGGTGCTGAGCCTCGTTTCATGAGCTGGACTGGGCCACTCCCTCAGCTGTGGGGCTGTGGAATTTGGGGTTCAGGAGGTGACCACAGGTGCGTCCGAGTTACCAAGCAGTCCTGTCCTGATGGGCCGGGCATTGCATGTGGCTACTGTGGGTGCCTTCTGGACTGTCCAGGGTCTTCAGGGGTTGGCAGGAGGCAGGAGACTGACAGGAGACAGATGGAAGGCAGGGGTGGGGGAGCAGCGTGCCCAAGAAGAAGGAGAGCAGTGTGGCAGTGTTCCAGCCTGCTGTGCACCCTGCTGCCAGGAGCTGGCCGGAGGCCTCCGCTGGCCAGAAGGAGGAGCTCCCTGTGGAGGGTGCCGCCCTGCCCTCCAGTGGTGCAGGAGGGAGGAGCCCCATCCTGTTTGTGTCTTCATCAGAGTCGAGTCAGGAGCTGAGTATGCAGTGCCTGGGGTGTGTGGGCAGTTGAGACGGCTGCTGGCCCAGTCTGGAACTTGCAGACTGACCCCAGGCCCTGTACTGGAGTGTTCAGCCAAGCTTAGAAACCAGGGCAAGGCCCCCTGACCAGAGCCTGGGCCACTCCCGAGGCCTGAACATACCCTGGCGAAGGGCTGGCCAGGAGGGATCCTGGTGGGGAGGGCTGGGCGGACATCTGACTGTCCACTAGGGAAGGAGGCACGCCCCTCCTCCCATTGCTTTCTAGGACCTCACCCACCCCAAACAAATGGCACTGGGAGAGGGTGGGCTTAGGAGCCTAACGTTTGCCGAAAGTAAGGGAGGGTAAGGCAGGGCCAGCTAGAAATCAGCCCTTGGGGTCAGATGCTGACCCAGACCATGGGTGGCCTCTTGCAGAGCGCCCCTCGTCTTCCCCACGCCCGGACATTGGGGAGGTTTACACAGACAGGGTGCTGCTGGTCTGGAAGCCCGTGGAGTCCTATGGCCCTGTGACATACATCGTACAGTGCTGCATAGAAGGTACTGCGTGGGCCCTTTGCCCTCTCTCCCTGGGGCCCCTGAGCTCAGCATGCCCCCAGGGTCAGCATGGAGGGCCCTTGCCCACAGCCTGCTCTGTGTCTGGGGAAGGTCTTTCCTCCTCCCTCCCCAACTGCCTCTTATTCCATCTGTGACCAGGTGGTGCCTGGACCACCCTGGCCTCTGACATCTTCGACTGCTGCTACCTCACCAACAAGCTGTCCAGGGGCGGCTTGTATACCTTCCGGACAGCATGCATCAGCAAGGCAGGAATGGGCCCCTGCAGCAGCCCCTCAGAGCAGGTCCTCCTGGGAGGACCCCGCCACCTGGGTGAGCCACTCCTGGGCAGCCAGTGGATGGGGTGGCCGGCAGATAACAGGCACCCTCCTGCCTGCGGACCCTGTGGTGGCCACTGCCTTCGAGAGAGTGCTCCTGCACTCAGCCAGCATTCAAAGCCTGCACATTCTGGGGCCCTCACCCTTCAGCTCCCTTCACTCACCCACACCCACTGGTGCCACCCCAAGAGTTGGCAGTGACTTCCTGGGTGCTGGGTCTGGGTTGGGTGGAAGAGTGGTTTGATGGATCAATAGTGTCTATTGTGGGCCTGGGAAAGGGTGGTGTGATGCCATGGTGATCCCTGGTCCATCCTGGAAAGCGCCCTGCTGCTCAGGATGCGTATCCCCAAACACACTTATGATGAGGGCTTTATTGTGTCCTGAATCCAAGTTCCCTTCTCCCCTGCAAAATGACCTGAGGGAGCAGAGGCCAGAGCGGGCACTCAGGCAGGGCCACTGTCTGGTGTCTGAGGAGGAGTGAGGGAAGAGGAGGGGAGAGCCTGCCTTGGGATCCTCCTGAACCTGTCACCTGCCCCTCCCTAACAGCCTCAGAGGAGGAGAGTGGCCAGGGGCGGCCAGCCCCGCCCCTCCCCAGCACCAGGAACTTCGCCTTCCAGATGCAGATCCGGAGGTGCAGGGGCCTCTGGGGACAGCGGGTGGTGGGATGGTTCCTCAAGCTGCCCTGCTGGCTCTTCGTGCTCCCACCCCCACATTCCCATGCTCAGCTCAGAGCCTCTTCCCTGTGTCTGGTTGCTGCCCCTGCTGAGCTTGGTCTCTGCTGCTCTGAGTGCGTGGGGGCCACTCAGGTCCTGCTGTGTCTCTCTCACAGGGGCCGCTTCAGCGTGGTCCGACAGTGCAGGGAGAAGGCCAGCGGGCGGGCCCTGGCCGCCAAGATCGTTCCCTACAGGCCTGAGGACAGGGCAGCGGTGCTTCGGGAATACGAGGCGCTCAAGAGGCTGCGCCACCCGCACCTGGCCCAGCTGCATGCTGCCTACCTCAGCCCTCGGCACCTGGTGCTCATCCTGGAGCTGTGCTCTGGGCCCGAGCTGCTCCCATGCCTGGCTGAGAGGTGGGGGCAGAGGCTGGGTGGAGGGATGGATGGACAGGCAGATGACGCAGGGTTCTGGGAGGGAACGCCAGGCCTGCCACCCTCTTCCGCATGCCTGACCCCGAGCTGTGTCAGAACCGGGTGCCTTTCCCAGTCCACTGCTCCTTCCCTGTGCACATGCCCCCTCCGGGCCTGTCCTGAGCCACCTCTGTCCCCAGGACCTCCTACTCAGAATCCGAGGTGAAGGACTACCTCTGGCAGATGCTGAGTGCCACCCGGTACCTGCATGCCCAGCATATCCTGCACCTGGACCTAAGGTCTGAAAACTTGATGGTCACCGAGTACAACCTGCTCAAGGTTGTGGACCTGGGCAATGCCCAGAGCCTCACGCAGGAGAAGGTGCTGCCCTCTGACAACTTTAAGGACTACCTGGAGACCATGGGTGCGTGTGTGGCCACTGTGAGAGGGCAGGCATGGGCGTCTGACCTGTTGAGGGGGCAGGAGGAAGCCCCCTCCCTACCCGGTCTACTCTCCCCTCAACTCCACTGCAACCCTCCAGCCTCACACCTGGGCCCACCCACCTGGCCCACCCACCTGTGCCCATCTGTGGTGCCCACCTACCTGACCTCTCACCTGTGCCCCTCCCTCTGTGCCCACCCACCCATGCCCCTCTGCAGCTCCGGAGCTCCTGGAAGGCCACGGGGCTGTTCCTCAGACAGACATCTGGGCCATTGGTGTGACAGCCTTCATCATGTGAGCCCTTCATGTGTCTGGGGAGAGGGGTGCTAGATGGGCAGGGCAGGGCCCCATCTGTCTGAGGGTGCTCTCAGAGCCCCCATGAATCTCCAAGGAGCCATCCAAATATGACCTCAGAGTCCCTATGCCCCATCATCCTTCACGGGTGACCTTGGAGTCCCTGCACCAAATCATCAAGGGTAATGGAGAGCTCCCTGCGCTTCCTGTCCTCTCAGGCTGAGCGCTGAGTACCCCGTGAGCAGCGAGGGGACACGCGACCTGCAGAAGGGCCTGCGCAAGGGACTCATCCGGCTGAGCCGCTGCTACGCAGGGCTGTCAGGTGGCGCTGTGGCCTTCCTGCGCAGTGCACTGTGCGCCCAACCCTGGTACAGAGCGCCCCGCCCCACCTCGCCCCGCCCCGCTCTCCCGCTGCTCTCTGGCCGGCTCACCGACCCTCCCTCCTCCCCAGGGGCCGGCCATGCGCCTCCAGCTGCCTGCAGTGTCCCTGGTTGACCGAGGAGGGACCCGCCGCCTCCCGGCCAGCGCCAGTGACCTTCCCCACTGCGCGGCTGCGCGCCTTCGTGCGCGAGCGCGAGAGGCGGCGTGCGCTGCTGTACAAGAGGCACAACCTGGCCCAGGTGCGCTGAGTGCCAGCCCTGCAGAAGCGCGTGTGTGGGGTCGCTCCGCTGGGCCACGCAACGCACAGACGTACCAATAAAAGTGCGAATCCGACTGAAGTGTCTTCTGCCTCACTCAGGGCCCCCTGCCGCTCAGGGTATTCCGTCTCCCCCGGGTGGCTGCCCCCCCACCCCATGGAAGGCGGGCTTGGGAACAGTTCCCTGGGAACCCGTGCACTCTCAACACTGTTGGGGTCGGGTGCGCAGCCCTCACTTGTGTGCGTTTATACTAGGGCGCCTTAGTTCTGCTTCATCACAGGACCCCACACCCTGGCCAATCGCCTTCCCCCATGCATGCAGCTCCGCCCATTGGACAGTGCATCAATGGCAGTTCTTGAACAAAACCGCACAGAGGCAGAGGGGAGTTGCAGTCTGTGGGGTTTTCACCCTGCATGTGGCAATTGTTGGCTCTCAGCCATAGTGAAAAGTAGATTGACATTCCAAAAGATGGACAGTTACTACAACAAAATACCTGAGATAATTAACTTTATACAGAGATAAAATGTCTTTGGCTCACGTGTTAGAGAATCCAGGCCATGATGGATTGGCCAGTGGTGAAGCAGCACATCACAGTGGAGAAAAACCATTGAGGTCATCAGCCAGGAAGCAAAGAGGAAGAGGAGGGAGCAGAGGTCCTACTATCCCCCGGAAGGGAACACTCCAATGATCTAATGCCCTCCCACCAGCCCAAAGTCTCCATCGCCTCCCAAGAGCAGCACCTAGAACCAAGCCTCCAATATACGCGACTCTGGGCATGTCCAACACCCTGCTCCAGCAGGAGCGCGGTGGAAACATCCCAGAACTGGCCTGGGGTCTTTTTCTCCCATGTAACCCCCTCTCTCATGCCAGCCTCGAGGTCCCTCTGAGAACCAGGCCACCTCCCACTTCTTTCTCAGAACAGTTGAAGCACACCAGCCCAAAACAGCCACTGCCGACAGGCTGTGTGGCCACCCTTGGGTGGGGTGTGGGGAGGCACCATCACAACTGCCCTCCCTCTGACAGTAGCCAAGCAAACACATACCTGCCTCCTCAATTGCTCTTTGGGATGACCCAGATGAGCCCCAGTCCCTTGGTTCTTTCCACGCCTGCTTCCTGAGCATGCTGTGGATGCTGGGGTGGAGAAGGGCAATCTTCACTGCAACCAAGGATAACCCGCAGCTGTGTTCCTGGGGGCACTGGGCTGGAAGGCATGGACAGCCTCTCGGTCTCAGACAATCCCAGGGACCCAGTGACTGCCCAGTGCCATGAGTCCAACCTGCTTCCACCTCCCTATCTCCAGGTCACTGTGCTGGAATACTGCCACCCATCCAATCTTACTGAAGCCAGGACACTTGACCTAAAACCTGAACATCTCAAAAACCAAGCTGATAGGTCCTGCCCTACTTCCCTCCTGCTTTGCATTTCTGCCAGCGTCAATGCATGGACACTGAGTCTGTCTTCCATCACTGTACCCAAGGCTGGGAAATATGTAAGGAAAAGAGGTTTCTCATCATCCTTCATGAGTGACCTTGGAGTCCCTGCACCAAATCAGGGACTTGCCTATGTTCGGGGTCCCTGGCCACATCAGAGCATACTGGATGTGACCCCATGGACTCGCCTAGGCTTGGGGTCCCTGGCCACATCAGGTCACAGCAAACAGTGTTGACTAAAGAAGACTTTGAGATGACCTCTATTGAATCACCAAGGCCAGATGATGCACAGGGGAAGCTCTAAGGGAAGTGAATCAGGTACTTGTGGTAGTTTTGATTTTGGTAAAATCACAATCTGCTATCCTGGCCGCTGGTGTTATTATCATTAATTTTCATCTTAGCCATCCCTGAGTGCACATTTGGGTATTGTAAATTACATTCAGAAATTCTATTCTGAGTCAAAAGCACAAAGCAGATTAGGAGGAAAGAAAGAACCTGCCGGAACTAGAGCAGCCCCGGGCAGGGAGAATGCGGGCATTGGGAATGCCTGTGTGTCCACCAAGTCACTGTATGAAATACACAAGGTTGGAGTCTCAGAGGCAGGTCAGGTCTTCATGTCCCTCCCATGGAACTCTCCAGTAAGGAAAAATACAACACAGCCTGGGACCAATGCACGAAAATGGCAATAGGGATTAGCCACTGAAGACAGCACCTACCCTACACAGCACTCGAGGCTTAGGTTGACCCAGAGCAAATAGCACGTGGCCAGAAGCCCTCCCACAGCATCCCTCCAGTGACACATGGTCCAGGTGTCAGATTTGGCTGGCTCTGAGAGGGAAGTATGAGGTGACCAGATGTCCTGGGGACAAGACCCGTGTCTGGGTGTGCAATGCATCTGCACCCAGTGACCTCACACCCGTGCGGGCAGACAGTGGCCTGGGCAATGCTGTCAGCACCTGCATTCTGCCTGTGTCCCTCCATCAGGCAGGAGCAGGTGCCCAATAGTAATGCCTCCCTACTTAGTGTCTAGGAAAGAGACAGGATGAAAATAAAAGGTGAAATTGACGCATCCATAACCGTATCAGGGGATTTTACCACATTGTTTAGAAATCAGTAGATCAGGTAGAGAAAAAAAATAAATGGATTTGTACAAGTATTGCAAAAATTGTTGGAAACACTTGTGTGATAGACAGATAGGTAGGACTGTGAGACCAGAAGAGGTTTGTGCTACATGCAGAACCCCAGAGAGGTCACAATCCTCCCTTGCTGAGGCCACATGTTCTGGCCACTGTGGAATGATGTCAGTGACTATCGGTGAAAGAATGACCAGCAAGCAGGGCTAGCCGTTTGGAAGTTCTAGAGAACAATCTAAATGATGCCTGTGTCGAATGGAAAAACAAACTAAAAATCAATTTTAAAGAGTATCTCACGGAGGAAGCAGGAGTCTGGCAGCCAGGTTCTCTCCCAGCTCTAGGAGTTCTTGGGTCAGTGTCAGGAGAACCTCAGATTCTAGGCATAAGCAGTTTTCTGCACTGAACTAGTAATGAGATTAGCACAAAGCATAGAGCATCAAAGACAACTCAAGGTTTGAAATGTCACTATGCAGAACATTGTCACCACATGGGCCTTAGATACAAAGAGCACTGAGAACACAGACCCTCAGCTTCTCCTGAGACCCTGTGTTCTATAACAAGGGGTCAGTGTGACATCAGCACAGATACCTCACGTCCCATGCACATATAGATGCTGGAACCTCCGTCAGCTTTTTCACTGTTGTGACTTAAAGACCTGACCAACACATCCATAGGGGAGGAAGAGTTTATTTGAGGGCTGGGCTCACAGTCCATGGAAGGCCAGCTCCATTCCTCCGAGCTGCAGGTGAGGCAGGACATCATGGGGGAGGAGTGTGGCAGAGAGAAGCAGCTCACCTCACAATGATCAGAAAGCAGAGAGAGGTCTCCACTTGTCAGATACAAATAGATACCCCAAAGCCACACCCCAATTCCCACCTCTTCCAGCCACACCCTACCATGTCAGTTAATCCCATTAGAGATCATTTCACTGATTAGTCTAAGGCCATAACCCAAACATTTCTCTTCCAATACTTCTTGCATTGTCTGACACTTGAGCTTCTGGGGGACACCACATCTAAACCATAACATGGGGCAACTGGGCTGAGAGCGGTAATAGTCGGATGACAGGTAGGTAGGTAGATTGACAGACAAAAAGATGGCAGAGTTAGACAGATGATAGATGGGTGAATGAAGACAATACCTAGATGGGTGGATACAGATGATAGGCAGATGGCAGCTGGATGGGGACGAGACCTAGATGCACAGATGTTCCACAGGATGCTTCATCTCCTAGGAGGGCACAGGGGCATGCCATGGGAGCTCATCACACTACATAGGCTGGTGTGCAGCTAAAAACTTAGGAATTTTTCACCTACTATCTTTAACCCACAGTTGACCACAAGTAACTGAAACCACAGAGAGTGAACCTGTGGATGAGAGGGGAGTACTGTAGAGGGAAACAGAGATGCATACAGAGAGATGGCAGGATGACAGGAGTGGTAAAGTAGACAGATGCAGATACAGGAGACCGAGATCAGAGACAGATGCAGGCCTAGATTCAACCAGAGACTGAGGGCTTCACATGGGTCGGCGGCTGTGGAAGACAGAGCAGGTGGATATAGACATGGATGGATGGATCGATATCTAGACTGACAGATAGTGGATGGTATGGAAGACAGACAGACACACACGCGCACTCTCTAATTTAGAAACCAAGCAGTCGCGGCTGGGGATATAGCTCAGTTGGTAGAGTGCTTGCCTTGCATGCACAAGTCCCTGGGTTCTATCCCCAGCACCGCCAAAAAAAAAAAAAAAGTTACTCTTTTGGGGCTGGGCTGGTGGCTCAGTGGTAGAGTGCTCGCCTACCATGCATGAGGCACTGGGTTCGATCCTCGGCACCACATAAAAACAACCTTATGTATCCACCTAAAACTAAAGATACATAAATAAATAAATATATATATATATATATATATAAAAAAAAGAAACCAAGCGGTTTTCAGATGCTCACCGTTACCATGTAGTTCCCAGCCACAGGGGGTTCTCAGGAGCAGAACCAAGGATGACGGCAGAAGACAGGGCAGGGCGTCTGAAAAGCAAGGGCTGCCCTGTCCTTGCCCAGCCACTGGCTGCAGAGCAGCGTCCTGGCCAACGGGCTGCAGGTGCAGGGCCTCTCCCGCCCAGTGACAGCCAGCACCTGTGTTGAGGCGATGAAGCTGCCCAACAAGGTGCCCCCGAGCCCATCAACCTGCAGACTACAGAATCACAGCTGATGGATTTTTGGAGCCACACAAATGGTTTCTGTGGTGCTGGGAGAGTCTGCTCAAGACGGACACCCATGTGCAGGAAAGTGACAGTCCTTGCAGAAGCTCGGCTGCCCTTGTGTGGGTTCGGGTCAACACAGATGGCTGAGTGGCATAGTGCTGACCACAGGACAGTGAGGGGACAAGGTGCCAAGGTTCGTGGCTGGCGGTTCTTGGGGAGAGGCAGGTGCCATGGAGGTGCAGAGGTGGCCTCGAAGCCTGGACAGTGCCAAGCAAGAGCTGGACAGCAGCCAACAAGACATCCTCAAC